CATTTAACCCAAGGCGGGAAACAAAATATAGATCTATTCCAAAACCAGAAAGGTTGACTCATCATTAAAACTCAGGAGAGTTGTGCAATATAAAAAGGATCAATTATTTCATAGCAGCAGAGTTCTTTTAGTCTATTTTTACCCCTAATAAAAATATACTTTTATCTCATTACTTTTCTATGTAATATTTTGTCAAATACCACAGTACGTACGTTATTACACCACTTTAACTATATTATTATTGATGCTGATGAATCTTTATACTGTTGTGCAATCAAGAAATACATTATATAATAGAAAAGCAGGGTTTAAGTGAATACTTTTTATTTTATTCAATTTTTATTTTGTATTTTACTTTATCTACTAAAATGTTTGTACATATCATCTCCAAATTGATAAGGTACACTTACCTCCGTAATACGTCTTGTACGTACCTCCGTAATACTTCTTGCAGTCCACCTAGGCTAAAAAAACTTACTTTAACAGAGTAATTGCGGACGAATGGGCGAATAGTCGTCTGGGGGTGAGCATTCGTTCAAATCTGAGCGGATAGTCGTCCGTGAGCGAGTATCCGTTTATTTTGGGTAAATAAACAATGGAACACAAAAAATAAAATTACTTAATTTACTCAAAAAGGGTAAATATTCGTCCAGGGGTAACTGTTCGTTTATTGTGAGTAAAACATAAAGGTCGCACAAACATTTAAGCTTTTTTATTCGTTCCATTTACCTGCAGCAGACGAGTATTCGTCTATGGGCGAGTATTTACCCACATTGGGTAAATAAAAATTACTTTATTCGTTCCATTTACCTGCAGCGGACGCGCATTCGTTTATGAGCGAATACTTACTCACATTGAGTAAATAAAAATTACTCTATCCGTTCCACTTTTCTGCAGCAGACGAGCATTCGTATATAGGTGAATACTTTTTTGAGGAGTAAAAAAAAAGGAACACCCTAAAACCTAAAAATTGCCTGAATTATCTCATTTATCTTAACTGGATAAGCATTGGTTTATGACTATCAAGTTACTAATTTGCTTAAAATTAAATAAGCAAACGGAACATCCAACACTAAAGGCCGCCCATCCCATTAACCATGGTGCGGTGTATATCCCATAAAAATAAAAGAATAGCTGGCGTGGTTTAAAAAAATTGTGAAAGGGGGATTTATTAATTAGCAAAGGTTGGATATTTTTCCTGCTGTTTCCTTCATGTCCTCATCAAAGCTAGTAGAAGGTAAAATGACAAATAGAGAACAAGAATCTTGGTATGTTACTTTGTTTCCATTCTATGAATGTGTCACCATTTTTAGCAATCCCACAACTGTCACAATGTCCGCAATGTTAATAACAACTATTTTTTTTTCTTCGTTATTTTCGTAGGGTACAACAGTTTGAATGCAAGGGCTATGCGGGGGAGAGTAATGTCTCTTCATGACTTCAAGTACTGCGTAAAAACTAGATGTTTTATCAAATGCGTATTCAAAAAAGAATAACAGCCTACCCACATACCAGTTAGTCACCTGTAAAATTCTGCCTTGTCTATTGATAGTATTGTTAGTTTAGCTTTGATGAAAAAAGCTAAAACTTATCTTCTTGTTTGGTGATTCGAATGGAACAGAACATGCTCACCACCACGTTTTGCAATTGACTTTGATAACCCTTGTTTAAAAATGGCAGCGGAATATACGTGTGAATCTTGCCAAAGCTTACCAGCGGGAAGAATTTATTTCGCATTGATTTTAATTCGATGAATAGGCTCTGGTAAACTAAAAAAAACGCTTCTTGTACGATTTTAAAGCGCTGACAAACGATTTCATAGTCAGAAGATCACCAGCAATAAGACAATCATTATCGGCATTGCCAGTCAATTCAAATTCTTGATAAAATGGAGCCCATAGCTGACTAAAGTCCACATTACCAGAAGGATGTTCTACGAAGTCGGTTTCTAGTTTGGGGGGAGTTGGATCAAAGTTCACCATCTTTGTATTTCGCATGAAAGAAAAAAGAGTCGTTCGTTCCGTAATATTGTTGGCATTTTCACCAGCATTGACGCTAGATCTCATTTATTTTTTGTAAGCTCCTGTAAAAGTTTGTAAGAGTATAATCAAAAATCTTTAATTCATATAACTAACCTTTTTTTCTTTCCATGGATCTGACTGACACACAACGAAGAATAGAACATTGTTTTATAATAAATGTGATGTGGTTAAGTTGGTTCATGTTGACTTTGTAAATACAGTTGGATAGACACTTTTCGCTTATCAGCTTGTCCATAAATTGGAACCAATGATTGAAGGACCTGCGTAAAGAAAAGGATAAAAATAATCAGTTTAAGGAATGTTAAGAGGTGCATATCGGATCCACCTACTTGTATATTGGCTTGATATCATCTTCGGTTATTCGGAACTGCAACGGTAATGATATGCCTCGTACCAGGTTAAGGAATCCGTCAATCACAACAGTGTCATCAAACTGTGATACAATCAGGGTTGGTACACAATAAAGCAGCCAATCCAGCCACTCAGCAGAACGATAAAGTGCCTTGACATTGTTAGGCTCCATTGCAAACCAACTACCTTTTGTTGTGTTTTGAGGTAAGTAAAAGTTATAAGGCAGTTTATGAATAATTTGAGACTGTTTATAAGATTGTCTTTATTATGAAATAAAATGAACAAGTATTTATATAAAAAAGACTATCTGCTGTACCACTATCTTTAGTGTATCTTTGAAGTTGTTATCATTTTCCCAGTGTGTATCCTGTTACCTTTAACTGCTTATTTTATAAATATGTTACACTTGGAATTACTGTCATCTTAGACACATTGTACTTCCATATCTTTAGTAAGCCTTAGTCACTGTGTTCTTGTAACCTTGTGATATGATAGTACCAACTATCTATATTGGGTAATTGATTCTTTAATCATTCTTAATGTATTGATGTCATAGATATGGATTTATTTAATGTAGCAACAATATAGCAGATTACCACACCTTTGAAACAAGATGCTGGTATGAGTTGTCTAGATCCTTCCATGCTCTTTTTGATGGCTGTGAACGAGTTATTAGACAATTCAAATAGATAATCTGTTTCCTTTTCACAGTACTTGAAATGAAGGTTGTACTTTGGAGATAGCATGGAAAAAACAACTTTGGCAATGTTAGATTACAGATGCAACTCATCAATTGGATAAAAAGCAACCGACGTAAAAGATACTAGATCACCAAAAACACCAGGAAGATTAATGTTGTAGTCGTTATCTGCTTAATATGATGCAATGATAAATAGAGGACAACATACGCAAACACTATCATACTTACATGGACTTCACTATCGTGTTTTTTTAACAAATTATCCCTTGATCTCAACAACGCTTTTCCATCCTGAAAAGACATACCATGCGTCCCCTCGCCAACAATCCCATCTTTGTTTTTTACATCGCCTCTATGCTTTCCCTTTGTCAAACAAAACCTGCAGCCATATGTTGAACAATGACCACCAAAATTCATCAACTCGTTACATTGACCACCATCACCAGAAACATACATAGTTCTTACTCTACTAATTGCAGCTTGCTGTCCGTTTCGCTTGACCAGAAGAGGCTTGGAGTGCAATTCAGATAATTCTTTGATAATTTGTCGCAAATACGAGTTAAGATTGACCTTTACTTTGCCGAAAAACAGTACCGATTTGGAAAGTATTTTCTCGAGTAAAACGCTATGATGATGTAAGTATACCTCAATTTAGCTGGAGTCGGGTTTACGTACTTCCGAAATATCATTGTTTAAAATTACACGATGGATCATCGTCATTTTCGTGCTCGAAAACTTGTTGCAAAAGCCTCGATGGCAATCTTTAAAGCAATGTCATACTTATTGTCAAAATGCCCGTTTTTACAAATTTCGTATAGAGCTCTCCATCAAAGGCATCCCTGTAAATTGTTTCTTGCGATGGCTGCAAAATTTCTGAGTTGGGATATTCTTCAAATCGGTATGGTAGTCTTTCCCTTACATCACCACAAGCTGAAAATTCTGACAATTTGGCTGCGATATTTATGGTCTTTAGTTCTTTCTTGATATTTCTAGAACAATCACAAATGGGACAAGAAATAAGATCAACATCCTTTATAGCATCATACAAGTAACATCCATTAGTAGCACAAACTTTATGCTTGTTGACAAGATTCATCGGTACCACACGTTTAATGAGTTTATCACAAGCTTCACGTCCAAGTAATTTGCTCGATTTGTCTATGGTAAAATATTTTAGCACTGTTGATAAATTGTATTCAGTATTATTGAAGTTCATATATTTACCAATTTTTTTATCAGACAACATGTTATTGAATAACTTTATCAGTTGCCTATGACCTTCGCGACAAATATTTCTCTCTTCACAAATATGTGAAAGGCGGATACTGTATCCTTGAGCTGGACTAAAGGGATTGGATGGAATAAAGACATCACGCACAGTATAAATAGACTCGTCGTCTTCGCAACAAGTAGGAATATTTTCAGAAATGTCTTGAAATATGGGCCATGTAAGTATCATCTCCTTCATTTGATTATTTTATTGTACATACCTTCATTATTGTCACTAAACGAATCCATCTCTGGCGCATCAAATCCAGCAGTATCTTCGAAATCATTCGAGTCGGTGAATAATGCATCTTCAAAAATTTCATCATGCTCTTCATGAACCCACTTATTTTGGTCTAACCCTTCAAAGTTGAGTTAGCTAGGAGGATTTTCACTGGGAGCATCAGGCGGTTTCAGAATCAATAACTTTAAATTCTGCAAAAGTATTTCTGGGATATGATTGGTCCATGTTTTTTTGCAAGTTTTTGCGACAAAATAGTTGCAAAAACAAAAAAATAGTCTAAATTAGTGTAAACATTTAGTGTTCCATGACACAATATTTCATGCTTCATCGACATAATTCACTTATTCATCGCTTTTTTTAAAAAAATTAAAATAATAAACGATTCAAATTTTTAACCATGGATATTACGAAGCTTTTGACAAACGATACTGATAGTCACTCATCGCCAGTCGCTCCTAACATCCGCAAAGATAAGGGTAAAGAGAGGGAGGTGTTACCCAGAAAAGTAGAATTAAACAACAAGCCAGAAATAAGACAAGCGGAAGGCTCTAAAAGTACCCAGTCAGATGATCAACATAGAAAAACCAGGTCATGGTTTGTCGGGGAAGGTGATGACAATAAACCGGCAATGGACCGCGTCAAGAATTTTTTGTTGGATAACAATGGCAAGTACCTTGATATATGGAGTGGTGTTCCAGATAAAAGAACTGGAAATACGACCCAGGGAAAATCACCACCATGGGTATCTCAACAATGTGCGGACGAGTTTGCCAAACATGGCGTCAAAGGAAAGAAGGAAACTATTCGCACCCAAATTATGAATATGTTAACGTCTTATGGAGAAGCGACAAAACTCTTCTACCAAACAGGTGCAGGAGCTAAAGGCGACGTCCCATGTGTAAGCATGTCCGAAGAGTTCAAGAGTAAGCGATGTAATATATTTTCCTTTATACCATGCTCACCTATAGATATTTGTAGAAAAAGTATTAGAAAAATGTCCCCAGTACTTCGAATTTGAGCCACATTGTTCTGATAGGTTCACGAACGACTCTTGAGCTGCGGACACAGGAACTATTCAAGATAAGCCTTTCAATAAAGAAACGTTTATTGCGAGTATTCCCAATAAGTGATCGATTGATGACGTTGCCGATGAAGAGTCTGAGAAGGATAACGAAGATAAGAAGAGGAAAAGAAACAAGAAACAAAAAACACCAAAAACTCCCATGTATGTTGAGCTTATGGAACGCTTTGAAATTGAAACTGGAGCTAATGACAGTAATGCCGGTAGAAGTGAATCAGGTTCGAATGCTACCAATCACAGTGAAAAGTTGACGTCTGTTGCGGCTCTGGAAACATGCATAAAAGAAAGAAAACAGCAGAATGCGGAGGCCAAATGGAATGATAGTCTTATGCAGATAGGGAATCGTCGTCTTGAGCTTTTAAAAATAGGCCTGCAAATTGAGACAGTCAAGACGATCTATGAACAAGAAGTTGAGCTTCTTAACCGAGGTCCGTTAGAATAATAAACTATTTTTTTTTCCTCAAATTTTCTAACTATTTTTGACAAATTGTCCCTTTTTTTTTACGCCATGTCCCTGGCGACCTTCTGTTTTTTGGCACTTTTGTTGGAAGAAACAGTAAGCTCTTTGTCCACAGCGTCACTTTTGGGTTGGGGTGTGTTTCCGTTGTAATCATTGTCATCATAAGTAACATCATCCACATCATCCAAAAGTATGTTATGCAACATGGCGCAAACACGTATCCAACGCATAACATGGTACAAGCCTTCTTTAATGTTGATCTTGCACCGAAGATTCTTAAGACTGCCAAATCTCATCGTCAACACCCCAAAACAGTTCTCAATGCTAACTCTGGTTCTTGCATGCAGGTAGTTGAATGTTTTCATCTCCTTGGTATAACCACCCTTTTCATTGTCTCTGTAAGGGATGATTACATTCTTTTCCAGACTGTAACCAGAGTTACCTAGGACATACTCCTCATCTTCAAAGTACTTGTCAAGATTTTTTCCCAAGTCAGAACTTCCAAAAACTCGAGAATCGTTTCTACATCCAAGAGAACCGGTTGCAAAAAAAATGATTCTTCTTTCTGGATCACAAACGGCCATCGTTTGAATGGAGTATCATTTTTTTCTGTTAAAGAATTCCATACCTCTGAACTTTGGTTAATACTCCAGATGAATGAGGGTGCCGTCAACAAAGCCAAGACAATCTGGAAATCCATTGTTCTTTTTGGTGAAGTGCTTGATTTTTTTTTTGCTCCTTGTCAGGCCATTTATTAACATCGCTCTTCATCGACAACATGACATCAAAGAATCTTGTTGTTAAGACATGAACAGACCACTAACCGATACCTGCTAGCATGGCAATTCTTCCAACTGAAGCGCCATTTCCATCGCTTCCCAGACGAAGTAGTACTACCATCAGTTGCTTTCTGACGCTTGTCTGTTGGCGGCTTGAATCGGAAGACTGATAGAGCCTGTGCCCTGATACCATGGTTACGATTTTTTCAACAGATTCTTTGGATATTCGCATATCCTGCTTGGATCTGGTCTCATCCAATGAGTCAACAAAGCATTCCCATCTATTAGATCTTCTAGGAACACTTCTTCTAGGTCTCAGGTAACGATGGCTCTCCAAGGATTTAATATTCAACAATACGGGGTCGTTCATCAAAGCGGTTCTAGCCATGGCTATCTCGTCTTCATTAGATCCTTCGTTTTTCATGGTATTTAAGATAGCTACAGCCTGTTTCAAATGGTTTCTGGCAGCTTCTTGAACTTTTTTAGGCAAAGTCTGTCTATTGGATAATTTTGGCATGATTTTAAACGTAATTAATATGTTTTGAGTGAAAAGGGACAACATTACATCATCTTTACAATTTAATTTTTAGTATTTCATTGAGGGGGGGGGGACTCAGAAAGCGATAAATATAATTGGCTTAGAAAGTCACACGAATATTTTTGCAAACTTAAAATTTCTGATTCTGAAACCCCCTATCCTTAGACATGTTATGTGTATCTGTTGGAACAGATGACGAATCAACTTGAGCAAGACGTTCATAGTACCTGGACAAACATTTAAAAAGCACAGCCGTAGGAGCATAGGTTCGAGCTCTTTTATATTTTCTTGGACCAGTGTTGTTTGGGGGCGTTTGCATTGTAAATATGGTGCTGGTATAATTTTTTGGTCGATATTCCTTATCCTTTTATATCTAAAATAGACGTATTACTTCGGGCTTGCTATATATTAGGTAATTTGTCATATTTAAACACGCAAAACGAGCTATCACTCAAAAATCTTTGACGTAGTTACTGTGGGCCCTTACCTTTTATGGAACGTTTGGTATAAAAAGAGTACTCTTTGACATTAGACCACCCGATGTCTAAAGAATTTTTGAAAATTCCATTTAGCGTAGTGTTACAGAGTTTGTACTAGTGCAACATAATTATATGGTAATTACGTCATTTAGTATTTCATAAATGCATAACAAAAATAACGACAATAAGTCCTTTTTTGCTACTCCAAATTATTTATCTGTTCTTTGTAAACTTTAAAAATGAACTCTCGTACTTTTATGGATGATATAGCTATGTACATGTTTGATAGACGACGTATTGAGGAGCGCAACAGTAGAAAAACCAGAGCAAAGTATCAGCGACCTGATTTAGAGTCATGGACAGAAGAAAAGTGCTATAAAATGTTTCGTTTTACCTACAAAGAGATTTGTCAAATTTGCCAACTCATCGGTTTGGATAATAAACTAAGATTTAATAGCATCAAGGTAACCAGGGAGTTTGCTATGGCTCTGCTTCTTTATCGACTCTCATTTCCACGTCGCTTATCAGATATGGTTGACATCTTTGGTATGGCTGAAGATAACATTGGAAGAACTGTCAATGGACTGTCAGATATTTTACTTCAGAAGTTCAGGTATGGCCTCGAGTTTGACGAGAGACAGTTTTCCAAATCCAATTGCGAAAAGTTTTCAAGAGCTATTCTAGAGAAAGGGGCATATTATCCAAACATTGTTGGTTTTATCGATGGAACCATGCAACAAACATGCCGTCCAAAAATCAACGCAGACCAAAAGGCATTATTTAATGGTTGGAAGCATCAACACTGTATCAAGTTCCAAGCAATCTCTACCCCTGACGGAATTACCAGCAGTTTATCCGGTCCTTACGTTGGTCGACGAAATGACAGAGGTATGTTGAACGAAAGTCAAATGCTTCAACGTCTTCAAGCGCACTTTGGGCATATTTCTCCGGAATACGAGTATTGTATTTATGGAGACGAGGCTTACTGGTCCACAATGCATGTCATCCAACCGTATCGTAACCCACTAAGAAATGAGTTCGAAGGCGAAGTGAATCTTTCCATGTCAAAAGTTCGAGTAGCAATTGAGATGGAATTCGGCAAAGTCTCTCAGTTGTTTAGAGCATGCAAATGGAAGTATGGAAATATTGTTTCGCAGACAAGACCAGCAACAAAGTATATGCTCAGTACAGTTTTCAAGAATTTTCACACCTGCATTAATGGATCTACTGTATCTTCGATGTTTGATTTGCAACCACCATCTCTCGAGGAATACATACAAGGATTGATGAGAGAAAGAAGCCAATTTGATATTGTTGAATAATTAAAACTTTATTTATTTAAAAACATCATAAACATTTGTTGAAGCTTTTGATTATCCTCATGCAATGTTTGAAGAGCACTCATTATTTCTGAATGCTCTTTACGACGGAGACCATTTGATCTCTCGAGTATAGACTCCGGCTCGTCTTCTATCATTCGAATAGGTTCTACAGTAGTGGTTTTTTCTACAGGATTAATTGCTGAACCTGTTATGGCAGTAGAAGGGCCATCGTCTCTCTCTTTCCCCTTGTTCTTATGAAAACATTTGCCTTCCTTTGCCAGTCCTTGCATACGTTTATCCCTTTTTTCCGTTTTCTCTATATCCTCTCGTTTCTTTATCTTCTCGTCAGCAGAACACTTGATATCTTCTTGGTACTACAAGGTAAATTATTAATATGTCATATCACTGATCAGTAATTCAGTAAAGATAAATACCTGATTCCAAGCATTATAAGCAGCTCGCTCAATATCCGAATTAAAACGATTGATTCCAGACGACTTATTAACCACATTCTCTGAAAACAAATGCTTATACTGGTCAAGTAAATCACGGAATTTGGCAATCATTGCCACTCTTTTCAAAGGAGTTTCACTTTCGTCCTGTTCATTGACCTCTTTCAAAATTCGTTCCCAATATACTCCTCTGGTTTTATATGGAACTGCAAATGGCCTATGGGTTACATATGATGTCAAAACGGTCATTTCACGTTTTTTGGTCCATATCCCTCTCTTATTTGTTCCTTTATCAGAGATTTGTTTTTTATCCTCTTCCTGTTCTTTCTTTCCTTCTGTTCTTCTACGTTTTCTGCCGTCTGTTTTTCTTTTTTTTGGGTCGGCATCAACAAAGGAGAGGGTTACTTGATTATTTTTGTTGTTATTGGCTTCTTTCTTTGAGTTCATTTAAAATGTTAAGAAGAATAAAAAAGAAAGGGCAATATTATGGGTCGAAACTGATAAATACACTAATTGCGAATTTATTAAACAATAATTTCGTAATGCTTTTTATTTTGTTACACGACAAGTGATTAAAATGGAAGTGGTGACACAAAAATAACGAAAAGTTTAGTGAAATTTTAAAAATTCTTTAGACATCGGGTGGTCTATTACAAACAAGTTTACGTTGGTGTAAAACGACAAGATTCTTTTTTTTTGTCTGTCGGAATGACCATCTCAAATATTCCCATGTAAGTTAGTAACATATATAGTGCATTGCTTACCAGCCTTCTAACAGCTTTTTATTCTTTAACGCGTTATCACTGTCAATGGTTACGAGTAATCCTTCACTGCAAATTTTCTGGTAATTACGTTGCAGAATTATGCCAAGCCTGTCAAATTGCCTGATTTGTGATGACAGACGGTTTCCATCTTCTCCTAATTGGGACAGAATACCGAATTGAAAAGCATAAATGCATTCTAATTTTTTTTAACTACATCATTTTATCATCTCTTTAGAAAACTACTTAAACTATGCTTGATACCAACATCTATGACTACCAAACCTTTGCTACGCAAGGATTAAAGTCTTCCTTTGATAGTCTCTTTCACTCTGTCTCCAGCTTCTCTTTCGGTCACGGTCCTCTAGGAGCTGAAGTGAAATCTCTTAAGCATAAAGTTATAGAAATGAAGAACACCATTACAGAGTTAAAAGAAATAATTAAAGACATGGCTGGTCACTCACGGGTTGCTGGTGAGATATTTTTAAAGAACGAAATACCTCATACAATGCAAATTCGGTTCCAAGGTATGTCTGGTTGTACTGCTCAAGAAGGCAACACGGAATTAAGAAACATGCTCAGCAATATCTACACCGAGGAGAAGAAAAAGGCTATTTTACAGAACCCTAATCGTTTAGGCCAACGTGTTGAAGTTAAACCATCAGGTCTATCTGCAAAGAACGAGCTCATTGAGGCCTCAAAGATCTTTTTCAAAAGCCACAACAATGTATTGGACGGTATTCCTGTTGAAATGGATGACTGCGAACTAGAACGTCAATACGATTTGACATACACTGCGATGAAAAATTTCGTTTCTGTTTGCATCATTTCTCAGTTTACACTGTATCCAGGTTTTACTTGGATAAAGATTGGGTTTAAAGAAAGGGAATTGCTCGCATTGATTAATGATGATCTTATGTTCTCTTACCTTGGAGCTGATAACTGCCTGCGTCTGTTTGCGTTTATCAAAAGTTGGGGGGCTAAAACCCTTTTGGTTGCTACAATCAGAACCCGTATAAAGTCAATTCTTAAGACGAAGGTGAATACTACCATTGAAAATGGAAAGTTGGCATTGGACTAATATATAGCACTTTATTAGATCCAGCCTGACGCCTCGACGACAAACTGCAATGAAATAGAGGAGAGTGAAGACGAATTAGCAAGAGATGTCAATACGAGTGTTTCTGCAAACAAAGGTGACAGTCTCGAGATGTTTGACTGTTACGAGAGTGACGAGAGTGACGACAATGAGGATGAAGGGGAGGAAGAAAAAAGAATGGCTAGAGAAATTAAAGCTCTAGCCCAGAAAACTAGAGAGTGTGAGTTTGCTTTGGAGCAGGCTAGACTACGTAGAAGTGTCACTTCTAGTAAGAACAATAAGGGTCCTGTTGCCAGGAATCCGCGTAAACAACAAAATTTATCCGCCTCAATTCATCCCTCCGTCGTTACTCCAACCACTAGAAAGTACATATAGACAGTCCTTTTTTTTTTTATCTTTTTACATCAATAAATCAGTTTATTTTTTAAAAAAAATAACTTTTAGTCGTTCTTGTTTCTGGAAAGCATGTAACTGAATAAACGTTTGGACTGACTTCTTTCGTAATTCCACTCTGGTAAATTCGTCATTCCATCTCTGAAGTCCCTCCCCTTACTCATCTTTCCTTTAAATCACCATAGACAGGTGTATCAAGGCCATAATTGCAGTGTAATACGCCAGTACTATAAGTAAGTGTTTTTCGTTTATGGCTTTTCTTTTCTCTAATTATCTTTTTAGACTTACGCTTCCTGTTTTTACCGTTGTGGCGACCACTCTGTTTAGAAAAGGAATTAGTACGTATCAGTTTTGAGTCTTCTGATCATTAACTAACTTAATGTTCATTTAGAAACCTTTGGTTATCCCCCTTGTTTTTAAATTATAGGTTGCTTCATATACAGAATAATCAATGCTAGCATGTTATACCATGTACCTTTTACGTAATAGCTCATTCAAGTAATAATCCTTCTACATAGCAATTTGTCCTCAAGTATCAAGATATAAATAAATCTTACTTTCATTCTTTTTAATAAAATGTATAATCAACTTTTGAAACTGCAAACCAATTTTTTCAAAAGAATGGCGCATTTAATGATTCAATATGTATAAATGCTAGTATTTTATATGGCTGAAGGCTGAAAGGGAGAGCTTATATTAACATATATACGCCCTTGATTATGCATTTAATCCTTTTTTCTTGGTAAACGGGTAAACGCTTACTATCAACCCGTCCAAACGAGTAAATAGGTAGATTTACCCGATTCATTTTTTTGGGGTATATGGGTAACCACTTACTCTAAATCCGTCCAAATGGACGAATCGGACGAAAAAATATAGCCTTGGTGTATGCGGTACACTATGCGGTAGACGAGGTACAATACGCGGTAGACGAGGTACGCTATGCTGTAGACTATGACCACTACGTGGTAGACTATGTACACTATGCGGTAGACGAGGTACACTACGCCGTAGACGAGGTACACTACGCCGTAGACGAGGTACACTACGCGGTAGACGAAGTACACTGTTGTGTTTTGAGGTAAGTAAAATTATAAGGCAGTATGTAAGTAATTTGAGACTGTTTATAAGATTGTCTTTATTATGAATTAAAATGAACAAGTATTTATACAAAAAAGGCTATCTGCTGTACCACTATCTTTAGTGTATCTTTGAAGTTGTTATCATTTCCGCAGTGTGTATCCTGTTACCTTTAACTGCTTATTTTGTAAATATGTTACACTTGGAATTACTGTCATCTTTGACAAATTGTAATTCCATAACTTTAGTAAGCCTTAGTCACTGTGTTCTACTAACCTTGTCATATAATAGTACTAACTATGTAAATTGGGTAATTGAATTCTTAATCATTCCTAATGTATTGTTGTCATAGATATGAATTTATTTAATGTAGCAACAATATAGCAGATCACCACAATCTATTCGGCTCATCCTTTCGTATTTGACGCTCTATTCCACGAATGTAGTTACTCTAATCTTGTCACTCAGCTATACTAAATATACCCAAATTATTATTAATATCATATTGGGAATACATTCTTATTGTTCGATAGAATATCGGTTTCCCCATATGTTAAAATGAAATCAGATTTAATATTTGTTCCTGGATTGAAAGAGTAGCTGCAGAAGTTTCTAGGTTCTCTTAAATTAGTTTAATAATCCTGTCAAGATGCCTGCCATTAAATGTACTAACGATAATCCCATCGAAGTACCAGATACGGGTCAACTATTTCCTTCTGTGTAAAATTAAGCTATGCTCCATTTGTAACTGATTTCTAAATCTAAATTTACCAATTCTTAGTTTGCGGGTAGATAGTCAATGCGATCTGCGCAGGAAAAATATTGAAGTATTAATTGAATATGAAAAGGACCTCTATTTTTACCATCACAAACTCTCCAACCAATTAGATAAAATTATAAACTCTTATTTTTTCACTTGCTTTATATCTCAATTTAGATTCGCTTTTTTATTCAGAATTATCAGAATGAGTTCAACCAAAATACCTAATTTTCTCGCGGAGACAGTCCAAACCATGATTGAAGCTTAACCGAATATATTTCTTTGTAAAATACTTTTTTTGAGGTGTTAGTCCCTTTTTTTTCAATGAACTCTGACGACTACAGCAGAATATTGTAAAATCTAATCGCGATTCATCTTATCGATCTAACTTCGACAATTTCTCATTCCACCATTTTAGCTGGTTATGAACCCGTTGTATTGAAAAAAAATCTAATTGGAATCGATAAAAATGTTTCTCGGTAGGTAAAAGAAAATCTAAACTTCTTCTGGCATGTGCTCTGATGGTCATCGAGTAGGACGAAATACCGCCGAACGCAAAATTTTGCTAATGTTTAAGATGGCGAGATCCCAAGAATCCTTCCTTACTTCCTTTCGTAAGTTTGGAGAAGTAGTTATGTCCTGTTCTTGAAATTGCTTTATTTTACGTCGTGTAGATGTATGGGCAATGTCAATTGCTGTGACAATTCAGACTCTTGACAAATCACGGGGCATTGCCATGGCGCTGATTACTACTCGAGAAAAATCGTGAACATGTTTCTTTCATGCGACCTTATTTTTAAAGGTATCGAAGTTATTTACATATTTTTCTATTGGTGAACGCCCTATGCAATATTGTTCGGACAAATATTTGAATATAAAAAAAATAATTGAACCATCGACCATTACAATTTTTAGGGCGGATTTTAATACAAGTCGATGGAGGGTAAAAGGAATCATTGCGTAAACAGCTTTTTTTTTAAATATGGTATTGTCATACATATGCCACCTTCTAGTAGAAAACGTGCCAAAATTTGGGCTTCGCCTAAATTTGAGAACTTAACCGTCCGTTATTGCGGATGGATTAGGTGAACCGTAACCAAAAATAACGTACAAAGAACCCTTTTTAATTTTGTTTACAGAAACATGAATAATAGTAGAACGTAAAAGAAGATGTGAAATGTTTTAAATAAGTTTTTAATAAGTTTTTTGTTTTTCAAAAAAACAGGAAGGGAAACTACAAATCCCGCGAACGGATTCTTTTGGTATCCGGTTCCTCAGGATCAACGACGTTTTGCTCTTCTATAAAATAAAAATCATATATTCCTTAGTCGAAAAAATAAGGCAGGTATTAATAATTTTACTTACCAGCAGCAAAGGGCAACTTCAATTCCGGCTGCTTTTTGATTTTGTTGGCGCGTGAGAGCCTAGGTCTGGCAATCACGCGAGGGGGGGTCAAAACACCAGAGTAATCTACCACAAAGGTAGTGGCCTCACCGGAAGGAGGGGATGCTCTAAGGCAAGGAGAAGAAACGGGATATACCCGGGGAGATGTGGTGGGGGAAGGAGAGGGAGTTTTTCGCTTGCCACCCAAAACATCATCCTCCAAAGGGGGAAGACGGGATAGAGCGGACGGAAGAGGAAGCAACTCCGGGGAAGCAAAAGCCCCGCGGAAGAAAGGAGAAGGAAGGGGAGAAAGCAAACCTTCATCGTCCACACCAGGCACGGAAGCACCACCAACAACCGAGGTAAAAGCGTCATCCCCAATTGGGGAAGAAACCGCCAGGAAAGCGTTATCCCCAGAAGGGAAAGAAACCGCTTCATCAGCGTTATCCCTAGGAAGGGAAGAAACCACTGGAGCTGCGTTATCCCTAAGAAGGGACGAAACCGCAGAGAAAGCGTTATCCCCATAAGGGGAAGAAACCGCTTCATCAGCGTTATCCCAAGCAAGGGAAGAAACCGCTGGAGCTGCGTTATCCCTAAGAAGGGAAGAAACCGCAGAGAAAGCGTTATCCCCATAAGGGGAAGAAACCGCTTCTTCAGCGTTATCCCTATGAAGGGAAGAAACCGCTGGGACAGCGTTATCCCTATGAAGGGAAGAAACCGCTGGATCTACGTTATCCCTAAGAAGGGAAGAAACCGCAGAGAAAGCGTTATCCCCAAAAGGGGAAGAAACCGCTTCTTCAGCGTTATCCCTATGAAGGGAAGAAACCGCTGGATCTACGTTATCCCTAAGAAGGGAAGAAACCGCAGAGAAAGCGTTATCCCCAAAAGGGGAAGAAACCGCTTCTTCAGCGTTATCCCTATGAAGGGAAGAAACCGCTGGATCTACGTTATCCCCATAAGGGGAAGAAACCGCAGAGAAAGCGTTATCCCCATAAGGGGAAGAAACCGCTTCTTCAGCGTTATCCCTATGAAGGGAAGAAACCGCTGGATCTACGTTATCCCCAAAAGGGGAAGAAACCGCAGAGGAAACAAGAACAGGTGCGTATTCTTGTACCCATGCCTGGACTATAGCGTCGCAAGCGAAAGCAAAGGCAGGAACATGGGATTTGGGTTGGTAAGGTTGAAGGGGTGGAGGCACAAACCCAGGAGAAAGGCAAGGCAAACCGACAACACAAACGCAATCGAGGCTGTAACAGCCGAACCCTGATTTTTGCAAGGGCGAAAGAGAAGCCAAAGCAAAAGGTTGGTTGCTTACCTCACGAAGAGGAAGAGAACCGGCAGAGGCAAGAGAAACGGGAACAGCGGAAGGAGCACAAACGCGAGAAGACGAAGGCTCAGCTGCTAGACGTCTGATGTCAGCGATGAGGGCATCATCATCACCCCAACGGACACAGACATTGTCATAATTGACAGGTCTTTTTCTCATACCACGCCAAAGAGACACGAAGTCACTGCTTATCTTCTCCCGAAGGAAAAAGAAAGCCAACTTGGTCGAACACCAAAAAAACCACAACAACAGGAAGGCAAGATCAGTCAATCCGCGGAAAAACCTATACATTAACGACATTAGAATGGTGTTTATGCTCTTAATCATTTTTTTTTTACACTTACTCATCAAAAAAACTGATTAGGAGCATCTTACAATGTTTGCAGTTTTAAAGAAAGAAAAAAAGAGAAACGGAAAAAAAAAGTTTTTAAAAAAAAAAACCGACTGCGCCAGGGAGAATGATGACGTCTGGATTTTTTAGCCAATAACGGAACTTCAATTTTTTTTAAATCTAATGACTTCATAAATACATTGACGGACAGAATGAGAGAAACTATAGAGGAATGTACTCCATTAGTAGCCTTTTATTTAATGGATTCCTAAACCTCTCTATTTCTACATTGTGGTATTAGACCTTTTTTCCTAAGACTATCTCCAGTGGTTTGCTAAATTGGCGAAATTTATTAGATTTGTCTTCTTTTTTTAACAAAACGAGACTTAAACCGTTTGGTAAAAAAAAAACCAAAATTTGCTAAGTTTCATTTTTTCGAAAAAATAGATAAACCTGTCATTATTTAAAAAAACACTTTTTGCGTCTTTCGAGCTAAAGTATTAAAAAATTTCGAAACAACAACAACAACAACAAATTTAACAAAAACAAAAGCAATAGCAAAGGAACAACGCACAGATTATAATTGTGGCCGTGGCAATAACTAGATTTTAGAACAAGAGATCCTGTAGTGTAAATGTTGGGTAAAATTCTTAACCAATCAGAGCAAGAGCGACGACCAAAAAAACGCAGATTATGGAGTGTCTGTCGAAGGAGACTTTGTAACAAACTTAGTCAAAGTCTACCAAATACCTGTACCCGCCAGGGCCAAAAAGTGTTACTAGAACAAATTCACTGCGATTGTTTCTGCTATAAACACGTTTTATTGGTTTTTTGATATTTCCATCAGAGGCCGGAATCCCCGTTGATTTGATCCTTTTGACGCGGTATATAATACAACTAAAAATTATTTGACCTATGTAAAGACTAAGATAATATTTTGAAAAGCAAAAACCATTAGAGCCATTGAGATATATAAGCTGTTCGATACTAAGGATAAGATATAATTTACCTTCCTAAATTGATGTAAGGTCTTATAAGTGAGCGAAAAGTGGATGACGTTTATCGAGGTTACCCAAATCATAGTAAAGACGAAGGCAAAGAGGATGTCTATGAGTATGACAGTGGAAGACATCACTGAGGAATAGACCTGTCCTATGGAGCCCATGAACGCTGACGCCATGATGAAGAATGGTCGTGACCAGAATGCTGAGGTACACTCCATATTGAAGGCGTTCGTTCAGCTTACGAACCGCAAGATGCAATTTTCAGAGGAAGAAGAAAGTTTTTATTCGATCGAAGTAAGACTATTTTATTACCTTATTTGCACACTCTTTGAAAATCATTTCCCACTTTCATTCTCAATTTCGTCACACTTTTCTATTTATTTTTTGCTCACTTATAATACGAGTTTTTTCTCACTGATGAATAACAAATCACCCACTTTAACCTATACCTTTTGCTCAAATTTAGAAAATAAGTATAATCTAATGGACCTTAGTATTTATCAGAAAGATGGGCATGTAAATGCTGTAGATGAACTGGGATAGTTGAGGATAGAGATAGATCAATAAAAACAATAAAATATTTTGAGACTGCTTATAAGTTTTATTAAGAGTAAAAGTAGATTAAAAGATTCAGAGGGTTCTGTTCTAACTATCAGTTTGCATATTTATATATGTTAAGAGAAATCGGATTATGAGTTTAGTTTGATGGATAAGTTAAACAGCACTAAAATAGTGCTTGTAGTTGGATATGATATAATGTATAAGAAATTAGTTCATGTTGTGATGTAATAACGTATGGGACGATGAAATGAGATTTGATTTAGTAATGTTTTATGGTGTGATTAGTACCAACAGTAGGTGGATTACCACATGAACATGGAAGTGCACCCACCGTCAAATATGGAACATGCAATAGAAAGTCTTAATATACAGTTCAGTAATGTAGAATCAACCAAAAAACTGTTTACAACTTTATCACGGAGAAGTGTGCCCTGTGACTTAAAAAAGTACGCGTTTATTCAAAAAAAAGAAACTCACACGCAGGCATTTAAAAAATATTTGACTGGGTTACAAGATGGAATCAATTTGCCATGGACTACAATAGAAATTGGGTTTTCATCGCCGAGTTTTCCTTTCACATCCATTTAAAGCGAAAAATGGTTTGGTCGCCTTTATTGCCAGCACTAAGTTCTCTCTAGATCGGAAATCGAAAATAAATTGTCCGGTTTTTCTTCAAAAATATGAAAAAAGTGCTTGAAAAGCAGATTTAAAAATGGGCAAAATAACACATATACATATATGGGTGTAAATAAAAAGCTGATGAACGTCAAGGGACATTCAAAAATTTTCTTTTAAAAAGGAAATGATTAAATAACAAACGTTTTTAAATCTATATTTGTTTTTGTTTGTTTTTTTTGTTTATTTTTTTTTTTGTTTTTTTTACCTTTTACTTTATTACTACTTTTTAGCACTTAGAGCATCCCCAACGGTGTGTGAAAAAATCATTTTATTCCAAAATAGCACAAAGATTTAGAATAATTTAACCCCAACGGTCAATTGGATAATAGAATATTTTAAAAATTTTATCACAAATATTCTAAATTTCCAATTGAATCAATAAATTTAGAAAATTTCTTCTTTTATTCTAGTCCCTTAATTTTTTTGACATGAGCGATAATTTCGAAACAGTAACAATCCCTGAGCTTCCCAAAAAGGCAGGACGTGGAGCAAATTGGTCAAGAGCCGAAGACCAACAGTTGTGCCTTTCGTTTGTCGCCATTGCTACCGATGGTGTCATTGGTAAAGGTCAGACATGCAAAAGTTTTTGGGATCGCATTAAGACCGACTACAATGCCAAAATCGGTGACAATGCTGTCGAAGAACGTACCAGTGCTGCCGTAACCAGCCGTTGGAACACCATCAATCCCAGCGTGCAAAAGTTCACCGGCTGCTACGAAACTCTTTTGAGAAGTGTGCAGCAAAGTGGATCAAGTCCTCAGGATTTGGTAAGATGGCTATAGCTTAATTCTAGCAGAACTAAATTGTTATTTTACATAATAGGTCCATAAGGCGTATGCTCTATACAAAACGTCGACCAAAAACGGTGCTCCTTTTGTTTTGGAACACTGTTGGCAAATCTTATCCGCTGAGCCAAAGTGGGCCATGTACAACATGCCTAAGCCTGTTGTAACTAAGAGAAAAAACAATGGCAGTCTTGAAGTCATTGAAGACACTGAGACGGGTTCTTCTTCTGGGGATGTAACACGCCCAATGGGGTGTAAAAAGCTGAAGGCACTCCAGCAGCGTGAGCGCCAAAACGAGGTAGGTGAAAGCATCGCCGCCCGTTTGAAGGATCTTCTGGAGTTGAACCAGAAGAAGTTACTTCAGAACAAGTTGGCTGTTCAAGTAACCAACAAGAAGATGAGGTTCGACAAGAGAGTTCGAGATGAAAGAATCATGTCGATGGATCTTTCGGTCATGACTGACCCTCGTAAGCGTGCGTACTTCGAGAAAAACCAGGAGAAAATCCTTTCTCAACCATCTGACGAATCGTCTGATGAAGAAGTAGAAGATGTGGTAGAAGATGTAGTAGAAGAAGTAGAAGAAGTAGAAGACGGATTAGAAGACTGATTGGAAGAAGACAAATAGAAACTTTTAAAAAATAAAAAAATAAAATTGAAACAAAGTACTACATATTGCCCTGTCTTTGCCAGTGATGCTCGATCAAGTCTTTTTTCAACTGATTATGTGTATCACTATCTTTTAAAGCAACCAAACGGCTCACCAAAGCAGCAAAGGCTTCGGGATCATTCATATCAGGGTAAGCTTGTCCATGAAAAGAATGCATGTGGTAGTCTGTTCCAAGATCCTGACCACGTTCGTTTTCTACAATCTTATTATGTAATATGATACATGTTTGCATAATGGCCTTGAGATCGATAAAGTCCCAAAGTCTAGCAGGCCATTTAATAATAGCAAAACGTGCTTGCAGTACACCAAATGCACGTTGTACGTCCTTTCGCACACTTTCTTGTGCCTTAGCAAAACACTATTAAAGTCCAAGTAAATTAGTTTTTTATAAATTATCTTTGTTACTCTTGGTACCTTCTCTTTTTGCGACGTAGGCACTGCAATTGTCTTCACCAAAGTCGACCAAGTTGGATAAATACCATCTGCGAGAAAGTACCCCTTATCGTATCTATTGCCATTGACGAAGAACTCGACTTCAGGAGCAACACCATGTATCAAGGGGTCAAATACATGGGAACGATTGATGACATTGATATCGTTCAATGATCCCGGAAGACCAAAAAAGCAATGCCAGATCCAAAGGTCTTGGGAAGCAACAGCTTCGAGAATCAATGTTGGCATTTTTTCCTTACCGGTATACATGCCATGCCAGGTAGTTGGGCAATTTTTCCACGTCCAGTGCATACAATCAATTGACCCCAACATACCCGGAAATCCTCTCTCTTCATTGATTGCCAAAAGATTCTTGACATCCTCGCTGTTTGGGGCTCTCAAATATTCGTCCCCATAAATTGCCACAATCGCATGGCAAAAGTGCTTCAATGACTCCATGGCTGTGGAATCAGCAAGTCTGATGTACTCATCAACGGAATCCGATGATACACCGTAAGCTAATTGACACATAGCTGCGGTCACTTTCTGGATCGTTGAAAGTCCAGGCTTTCCAGCAGCATCCGGTTTTTGGGTGAAGTATTCATCCTTTAATCGAACTGCTTCGACAATTTCCAGAAACAGATCACGCTTCATTCTAAAACGACGACGAAACTGTTGGTCTGTATAAACAGGGTCATCGGAAAAGTAGTCGTTGAAAAGACGTTCATGCCCGGCAGCACGGTTTCTATTAACATAGCGGCGACCAGGAACGGATCCACCTCTCTTGGGTGTATCTTCGGTAAGTTGTATAAGATACTGAAGAGCTTCTTGGATAAGTTGATCTTCAATATCATTGTTGTCAATTATGTCAAAGTTATTACTCATTTTTGTAACAAAAAAATTTAAAAAAGAACAGAAAAGAAAATAAAATCAGGAACGGGATTATAAATTTAGCTACAACCGTTGGGGTCGATCTGTTCTATTTTATTTTAACAGATGGAAAACAGTCCTATTTTACATTTGGAATTCAAAAACCGTTGGGGATGCTCTTACCTTCCTATGAACAACACCGAAGCAAATAACAACACTCCCAAAAACGTACCTGGTTGCAGACGTGGTTTTGGAAACAGACGGGTAGGTAGACGCGAACGTGGCAGCCACGCTCGCGCCTTTGTGCTTGTAGACCCTACTGTTTAGCACAACACCATTCCTGTCAACAACAGCAATTACCAAGATGAGAACAACAATATTGATGTCGAATATGACAATCGCCCATCACGTCCTTACAACGTAAGGCCTGAGTTTGCAATTTTTATTTTTCTTGAGATCATGACAGGCAATTACAATCACTTGTTGAGAAAAGGAGATACTGCGTTAAAACAGTTTATTTGCGTACATGCCGCAGCTATGTTAAAAAAAAATGGATGAGTATGCGAACACCGACGCAATCATGGCTTTTTTAGCAAATGTCACGCATCTCAGTATGCACCGTAAGTGGAAAAACATTGAAACCAGATTCACCAGAGCCAGAAAGGCAACAAGAGAAACAGAAGTTGGTGTAACAGTCCCGAATGTACGATACTATAAAGAAATTGCCAATATCACTCAGGATGATTCTAGCATCCAACCTGAGGTAATTTACCAACGCGTCCACATAGAGAAGAATGGCATTCAATCATATAGAATAACAAACGACGTCCATTTAATGGATGCCATTGGATCTGATGGTCCTGAAACTACGTACTTGACACCTACAGATGTCGATCGAATTGTTATTTAAAAGGCTTGGTCCGATCGATACCTCACCGAAGATTCTGTTGATCCTGAAGGATATTCAGAACCATATTCAACAACAGCACCTTCACCACCATCAACACCTATATCCGCACTACCATCTCCACCTACATCCGCATCACAACCAACATCAATACCAGCAACCCAACACCAACACCAACACCACCACCAACACCAACATCAGTATCCGTAGTACCACCATCATGGACAGGCGCTACATCTCCACCTCCATATACATCCGCAACACCTCAACCTACATATTTATCTACACCACATCCACCTCAACAAACATCCGCACCACCACCACCACCACCTACATCCTCACCATTCTACCTCCACCTCTTCCAACATCCGCACCGACTCCACTAAGAGTAACCCGCACATCAAAAAATAATCGAAAGTCTGGTGAGCAGTCTTTGTCAACAATTGATCCTATCGATGCTGCTCGTCAGTTGTCAGAGAAGCATATGGCACATGCTCGCGAACTCCGTGTAGAGATAAAGGATCGAATGACGGCCGTACAACGGGAAGAAAAAGAGCAAAGAATTCGTGACCTTGATAATATCTTGGAAAGGGTCAGTCGTAATCGACAAACTGCATTGGAACATATGTAAACAAGAAGACGACAAGAGTCCAGAGAGAGATATCGGCTGCTAGTAGAATCAAAACGTAGACGAGAGGCAGATTTGGAAGAGGATAGACGTAAACGTATGTCAGATATGGAGACTATCATGAATAGATTTGCAGCCATTCGAAGAGGCCACAGTGATACCGATCTAAATGATTCATCTTCTACTGAAAAAAAAAATTATATAAAAAACATACTTAATATAGTAAACCTTTTAAAACAAAGCAAGTGTTGCCGTATTTGGGTATGATTTAGTTGCCAATAAACAAATAAGTCGAATAAATAATAAAAACAAGAAATTAAAACATTCATTAATGTGGAGTAACAGCATACACCTGTATACTGGTACACAACGTCTCCTACTATGAGTACATATTTCTACATAAAAGGATTGCATAATTGGCTTCAAATGGATATACGAATGAGAGTTGGATACAGATTTCTATACCACTGAGTTACGACATCACAGATCGTGAAGAGAAGCTTCTCCGATCAAATCAAGAACTATAAGAAAGCGAAACTTAATACTAATAGTTCTCTCCATGGATTAGTTATCCGTAAAAAGAATAGAACAGCTATTTTATAAATGGATTATTTACGTATATATTGATAAACACAACTTATACGACTGCAAGTGTATAAGAGAAGTAGTGTGTCGTATTTCCTTCAATAAGGATCGTATAGAATGACCTTCAATATGGTTAAATTATAATATTCGAGTGGAACTCTCATATTACCAGTATAATCTTGTTACAGATTATATATTGGGAATTATATTATGATTGGTTGTTATGACTCTCTTTAATCTGTTACTGAAGTATCAGCAAATGAGAGATTTTCACTTAAGAGCTGGAACCAATCAATATGATAACATATTGATTGACTTGAGACCATTTAATTCTAAATGCCATGTTTCAGAAGTTAGAAACAAGCCACCACCTATTCTTTACCGGATTCAATCTCGGATATGTTTTGATATAAAAAGCGTTCTGCCTTTTGCGATGACCTTCTCTCCATAACTTCAATAAAGGATTAGCAGAGACTCATTTCTTTAATTATTTTTTCTTCAGCTTTTATCAAATTCTATTACCTCAAAACATCACGTAGTGCATGGAATATTTGGATGCCTATTTTCTACAACTAAATATACAATCATCGATAGGATTTTCTATATTTAGGATCACATATAAACCCATGTCTTAGATAGATAAAAATAATTAACAGAATGGATAAATGATCAGACATAACTGCATGTTCGACCACAGCCAATTAAACATAAAAACCTTATGCATCTTTTAACAAGCCAGCGTTACACAACATCTTACTGGTATTCTGTATTTTAAAAAGAACAATAAGAGTGTCCCAGATCGGTTGATACAGATCTGCGTTACTTGAAATCAATTCTAATGAGTAGAATTCATTTGATGTAAGGCAGGAATCTGAGTATAGATTTATTACAAGACCAGAAAGGTTGACTCAACACAACTACCAGGGGAAGTTGTCCAATATAAAAAGGACTAATTATTTTATCGCAGAAGAATTCTTTTAGTCTATTTTTACCTCTAATAAAAAATATACTTTTATCTCATTACTTTTCTATTGTAACTATTTTTTCAATTGCCACATGTCTATCTGTTCCCCTCATGATATTGTTTCTTCTTAAGATAGACATTGCCTTAATACGACGCATACCTGCGGTATCAATGATATCATCGGTACCGAGGAGAGGAAGCAGAGGTTCGAAGTTGACTTCATTTTCATTTTGATTTTAACGGTCTGCTTCCACAAATTCCTCAAAATCCAAGCTTCCATCCAGAACCGCTTCTCCGATCTCGTTTTGGTTTACACAAACGTTGTGGAAACCACAGCAAGATAAAATGGCTTTAGCCATTCTATCAACGCAAAGCATATACAAGTGTGCCAAACAACACAGCTTAGATGTAATAAAAGTAGATGTAATTGACACTAATGGAAATAGTCTGTATCACAGATCTATGGGTAAATAAAGTAACAAGATCCAGTGACATTGAAAGGATCTAAGTATATCCATTCCGACATAAGAACAAACTTGACTTGTGTATTCGACAGTCAAAGAAGAAATTTATCGATGACTAATTACTGTCAAAATATGAAATTAGTTTCCAGCTGTCATTAAGTATAAATGGACCCCAAATTATCATCTTAACATCTTGGTCAATAAATTTATAAAGGAATTCTAAACGTACTTATGTACTTTGTTTTATTTTTAATTTTATTAAATCACACCACCGACTTATTACAACAAGTATTTCGAAAGGAATCTCCACCGGGATGGGAGTCCACGAAATGCATGTTCTATTTTTATACGAGACTCAGAAAAGATTACATTAAAAATCTTTTCTTCTGCAGTGCTTTCACCTCGGCCATAAAATGGAACAATAAGTTTTGGCAGCTAGAGTAAGCCGAATCTAGCTCACAACATTAATAATTTGTAAACTTTGGTATGATTAATGAATTTTATTCCCAAAATATAGGTGTCTGAGGAACACCATCTGGCCGCGTCAAACAAACGTTTATGATAGGTCACACTGCCAGTAAACACTCGGGCATTATTGTTAATGCCTTAATATAATAACAAAAGGTAAACTGCCATATTATTTTTTATCCTTCTATACGAACTAACCGGAATGCTCAGTTTTTAAGTACATAAACCCAGTAAGGACATCGCATATGATCATTAAGTTCATGGATGCCTGGCTCTTTTCATCGACATATGCATTTCCAAGCATGATATCAATAAGTCTGTTTGTGAAATTATTGAACGATCCGGCAATTACTCCAAGATGAGTTTCAGCAATGCCATATCCAAAAGGAATGTGGCGAATCTCCAAAGCACACACGCAACTTGGACTTCCACAGAGTATTCACCTCGTAAAATTGATCCGAGATAAGCAGAACATCTACTTAAACGATTGACGAGCCACTCCAAGGTACTCTTGTTAACGCGATAATGAACTCTATAACTGTGACAGCTGTTATGATCATATGACAGGTTAGGGTGCTTGATTCTCCAGTAAGTTTCATACGTGTCCATACGCTCGGTTCTAACAACCCTTCTGTGGACTTGTCCGGCCGTCATCCAAGAGTTGCTTATAAAAATATAGTGAAAAATGTGATTGTTGACAAGAGCGGTTGCATGTAAAATTGTTTCCCTGATCCCGAGTTCAAACAAGAAAAAAACATCATGGTTACCTTGAGTGCGGTCGAAGTCTGCAACAACGCCCTCTTCGGCGATGGATACCTCTTGTTCAAGCATTTGCTCTTCCAAATCTTACTCTTCGTCAATTGCACTAATTACATTCAACAAGGCATCGAAATATCGATCTTCTTCTTCGAAATGGTCACGGTCATCCTACATCGAAAGTTGTTCTTGCATCATGTCGAAGAAAGTTTTGTCATTTGGGTTCATGTTAAGTAGGTCCTTTAAAAAAAATTAAGATAAGCGAAAAGGAAATATTTTTTTAATAAAATCACGTCGGACCTCTAGTAATTTCGAAAGTGAAGAGCTGTCACGTCATCACCTGATCATGGAATTTTTTTTTATTGTTTAATTTATGAAATGGGGTAAACTCCCAAAAAAGACTCAATCACCATTCCGAATTTTACCTTGAGAGCACCTAATGTCGAAATTGAGAGCTTTAGAAATCCGTTAAATAAATGGCTGCTAATGGAGTACATGCCGCTCACTCGTACTTTAGTATTGAACCTGGATCATACCCGGATGTTTGTAATTTTTGTTTTTTTTTTTAGCGCTAAAGAAAAACTTTTTTTTTTGCCGGCCAGTTTGATTTTTTTTGTGCGACCTTTTTTTTTTTTTTTTTTTTGTCAAAGTGAGTTCGTATACTTAAGGAAGGCGTTTGGTTTGAGTTATAGACAATAATGTGTTTGCTAGAAAACACATATGCACTTGTATCTGAATGATGATAACTGTATAGTCAAGCTATAAATGCTTATTTTACATGTAGTTACATTCGCCATTTGTTTTGCTTAATAACGTTGTGAGGCATGTGTTACTATCACTGTATGGTTTAGCTATGTTAATAGTGTTTGCTCAAGCCGTTATGCTGGATAGCACTTGCTTTTAATCTTTTTGGAATGATTATGCAGTGTCCATTTAAGTATAAGTCTGACAAGAGTTGAATATTATTTATGGAAATAACCGGTTATAATACGCCTTAAAAGCAAGCAAAAAGTAACCCAGGCTGACACGTCACGCCTAAAAAGTAAGCATAAGATAATCCAGGCTGACTCTCATAACGAGCCTAGAAAATGAGGGTAAAATAATCCCGATTGACACGCCTAATGAGCATAAAAAATAGGCATAAAATATTCCGGATTGATACTCATAACGAGCTAAAAAAATGAGCGTAAAGAGATCCAAATTGACACTCAAACACATATTCTGTATTTCCCGTCAGGATTCGTTGTGTGGCTGCAAGACTATTAATTTATTGGAGCATTCAAGTCGTATTTATTAATGTAGTTAGGTGTGAAACTAAAATAAGCTTGAGGACAGTGCTTAAATACCGAGTCAAAAGGGTTAGGTCTGTCTTGACTTATGTGATTAACTTCTGAGAGGAGAATAAGGATCATGTTTATTAATTGATAATTGATACTATATATATGTTTTACAATTGTTAATTGGGAGTAACTACAATTGTATTGGTTAGTAAGGTACTAGATACGATGGCTGCGGCTGGTTATATGTATTCAGTTACAATCGCCGATTAGCGGATTGATGACATAATGGACTCATGACAAAGCAAGGTGAAGTAGCTAAACGAAACAAAAAAAAAAGAGCTGGAACTGGCTTCATCCTCCATGTCTTGATCGCCTAAGGATTGTCATTGAACATAAAAACGTATGATAACAGACAATCTGCCCTATTTCTCAAGAGATACAAAGAATTACGTGCTTAAATTCTACTAAACAGCCCCAAAAGAATAAAAATTAAACGCAAAACTGAAACGAATAAAAAAAAGGGGAGTAAAAATCAAAGAGAGGAAAACAAAGGAGAAAAATTAAAATTAGACAGGAAAAAAACAGGGAAAAAAAGAAGAAAAAAAGAGATATAAAAAAAAGAGATATAAAAAAAAAAGATATAAAAAAAACCAGGTAAAAAAAAGAGAGATTAAAAAAAAGGATCAAAAAGGGTAATTAAACGGACACCGTTTTTTTTTGGTGTAAAAATAATTAGGGACACCGTTTTTT